GGGGACTGGGAATGGAGCTGGCTGGGAATTAAGTCTCCCTCCCCAATGAGGTGAAATCCCCCTGCTGGGAGCTCGGCCTGAGCTCCCTGGGGCAGCTGGAGGGACCAGGTCCTGGCTGGGAATGGGAGGAGGGGGCTGGTTCCCTGCCCAGGGTTCCCTGCCCATCATTCCCTGCCCATCATCATTCCCTGCCCATCATCATTCCCTGCCCATCATCATTCCCTGCCCATCATCATTCCCTGCCCATCATTCCCTGCCCATCATTCCCTGCCCTAGAAACTCTCTCAGGCCCCATCTCTGCTCCCTGAGCTCCAACATTCTCTGCCTGTTCCAGCCTGAGCTGTGTTTCCTAAATTAATCCCAGCCTGGAAATGAAGCTTCTTGCTTCTTTTTTTTCCCCTTTTTATTCCCCCCCCAATACCTGGAAGGGCCAGAAAGAACCTTCTGGCTGAACTGAGCCAGGGGGAGGGGGGAGCAGGGATTTCCCTCCCCAGCAGCACCAGGGCACGTTGGCTTGAGGGGAACAGCAGGGAAAACATCCCCCACAGCCCCTGCCTGGGGAGGGAACCCCGGGGGGGGACATCCTGGGGCTGGGGCTTGGGGACAGGGGGATGGGGGACTCGGGGACAGGGGGCTCAGGGACAGAGGGACCTGGGGACAGGGGGCTCAGGGACAGAGGGACCTGGGGACAGGGGGCTCAGGGACAGAGGGACCTGGGGACAGGGGGCTCAGGGACAGAGGGACCTGGGGACAGGGGGCTCAGGGACAGAGGGACCTGGGGACAGGGGGCTCAGGGACAGAGGGACCTGGGGACAGGGGGCTCAGGGACAGAGGGACCTGGGGACAGGGGGCTCAGGGACAGAGGGACCTGGGGACAGGGGGCTCAGGGACAGAGGGACCTGGGGACAGGGGGCTCAGGGACAGAGGGACCTGGGGACAGGGGGCTCAGGGACAGAGGGACCTGGGGACAGGGGGCTCAGGGACAGAGGGACCTGGGGACAGGGGGCTCAGGGACAGAGGGACCTGGGGACAGGGGGCTCAGGGACAGAGGGACCTGGGGACAGGGGGCTCAGGGACAGAGGGACCTGGGGACAGGGGGCTCAGGGACAGAGGGACCTGGGGACAGGGGGCTCAGGGACAGAGGGACCTGGGGACAGGGGGCTCAGGGACAGAGGGACCTGGGGACAGGGGGCTCAGGGACAGAGGGACCTGGGGACAGGGGGCTCAGGGACAGAGGGACCTGGGGACAGGGGGCTCAGGGACAGAGGGACCTGGGGACAGGGGGCTCAGGGACAGAGGGACCTGGGGACAGGGGGCTCAGGGACAGAGGGACCTGGGGACAGGGGGCTCAGGGACAGAGGGACCTGGGGACAGGGGGCTCAGGGACAGAGGGACCTGGGGACAGGGGGCTCAGGGACAGAGGGACCTGGGGACAGGGGGCTCAGGGACAGAGGGACCTGGGGACAGGGGGCTCAGGGACAGAGGGACCTGGGGACAGGGGGCTCAGGGACAGAGGGACCTGGGGACAGGGGGCTCAGGGACAGAGGGACCTGGGGACAGGGGGCTCAGGGACAGAGGGACCTGGGGACAGGGGGCTCAGGGACAGAGGGACCTGGGGACAGGGGGCTCAGGGACAGAGGGACCTGGGGACAGGGGGCTCAGGGACAGAGGGACCTGGGGACAGGGGGCTCAGGGACAGAGGGACCTGGGGACAGGGGGCTCAGGGACAGAGGGACCTGGGGACAGGGGGCTCAGGGACAGAGGGACCTGGGGACAGGGGGCTCAGGGACAGAGGGACCTGGGGACAGGGGGCTCAGGGACAGAGGGACCTGGGGACAGGGGGCTCAGGGACAGAGGGACCTGGGGACAGGGGGCTCAGGGACAGAGGGACCTGGGGACAGGGGGCTCAGGGACAGAGGGACCTGGGGACAGGGGGCTCAGGGACAGAGGGACCTGGGGACAGGGGGCTCAGGGACAGAGGGACCTGGGGACAGGGGGCTCAGGGACAGAGGGACCTGGGGACAGGGGGCTCAGGGACAGAGGGACCTGGGGACAGGGGGCTCAGGGACAGAGGGACCTGGGGACAGGGGGCTCAGGGACAGAGGGACCTGGGGACAGGGGGCTCAGGGACAGAGGGACCTGGGGACAGGGGGCTCAGGGACAGAGGGACCTGGGGACAGGGGGCTCAGGGACAGAGGGACCTGGGGACAGGGGGCTCAGGGACAGAGGGACCTGGGGACAGGGGGCTCAGGGACAGAGGGACCTGGGGACAGGGGGCTCAGGGACAGAGGGACCTGGGGACAGGGGGCTCAGGGACAGAGGGACCTGGGGACAGGGGGCTCAGGGACAGAGGGACCTGGGGACAGGGGGCTCAGGGACAGAGGGACCTGGGGACAGGGGGCTCAGGGACAGAGGGACCTGGGGACAGGGGGCTCAGGGACAGAGGGACCTGGGGACAGGGGGCTCAGGGACAGAGGGACCTGGGGACAGGGGGCTCAGGGACAGAGGGACCTGGGGACAGGGGGCTCAGGGACAGAGGGACCTGGGGACAGGGGGCTCAGGGACAGAGGGACCTGGGGACAGGGGGCTCAGGGACAGAGGGACCTGGGGACAGGGGGCTCAGGGACAGAGGGACCTGGGGACAGGGGGCTCAGGGACAGAGGGACCTGGGGACAGGGGGCTCAGGGACAGAGGGACCTGGGGACAGGGGGCTCAGGGACAGAGGGACCTGGGGACAGGGGGCTCAGGGACAGAGGGACCTGGGGACAGGGGGCTCAGGGACAGAGGGACCTGGGGACAGGGGGCTCAGGGACAGAGGGACCTGGGGACAGGGGGCTCAGGGACAGAGGGACCTGGGGACAGGGGGCTCAGGGACAGAGGGACCTGGGGACAGGGGGCTCAGGGACAGAGGGACCTGGGGACAGGGGGCTCAGGGACAGAGGGACCTGGGGACAGGGGGCTCAGGGACAGAGGGACCTGGGGACAGGGGGCTCAGGGACAGAGGGACCTGGGGACAGGGGGCTCAGGGACAGAGGGACCTGGGGACAGGGGGCTCAGGGACAGAGGGACCTGGGGACAGGGGGCTCAGGGACAGAGGGACCTGGGGACAGGGGGCTCAGGGACAGAGGGACATGGGGACAGGGGGACAGGCAGCTCCTCCTGCCCTGGAAGCTCTGGCTGCAGCAGGAGGGGAAGGGACAAGGGACACTTGTCACCCTCTGGGGTGGCTTTTGGGGTGTGTGACATCCCCTCAGGGCCGGGTGTCCTGGGCCACCTGCTCTGGAACTAATTAACCTTGTTCTGTCAAAAGCCCTAATGAGGAATGTGCTGCTCCAGGAAGGCAATGAGGCTGTGGGAGCAGATCCAGGCTGGGGGTGGGAGCAGCTCTGGGCTTGTGGCAGCCCCAGGGCAGGACAAGGGCCATTGTCACCTGTGCTGTGCCCACCTGGCAGCTGGGAGGGCCTCGTGGGGTGGTGGGATTCAGTGGGGTGAGCAGGGGGGTCCTCCTGCCCCTGCCCCTCAGGGATGGTGGGGAGCAGCTCTGGGCAGCAGGAGCTGGGGCCCTGGGGGGCAGCAGGGGGACCATGAGCCAGCAATGGGCCCTGGGGGCCAAGAAGGGCCCTGGGCTCCTGGGGGGAGCAAGAAGAGTGTGGGCAGCAGGTCAGGGAGGTTGTGCTGCCCCTCTGCTCTGCCCTGGGGGGGACACCTCTGGAGAGCTGGGCCCAGCTCTGGGCTGCCCAGGGGCTGAAGGCCAAGGAGCTGCTGGAGAGAGTCCAGGGCAGGGCCCCCAAGGTGCTGAGGGGCTGGAGCATCTGCCTGGGAGGAAAGGCTGAGGGAGCTGGGGCTGTTCAGCTGGAGAGGAGGAGCCTGAGGGGGGGTCTCCTCAAGGCTGAGCAGGATCTGCAGGGGGTCAGCAGGGGGGGACCAGACTCTGCTCAGGGCTGCCCAGGGACAGGCCAAGGGGCCATGGGCACAAGCTGGAGCACAGGAGGGTCAAGCTCCCCAGGAGGAGGAACTTGTTGCCTGGGAGGGTGGCAGAGCCCTGGGCCAGGCTGCCCAGAGAGGCTGTGGAGGCTCCTTCTCTGGAGACACCCCAGCCCCTCTGGAGGCTCCTGTGGGACCTGCTGGGGGTGACCCTGCCCTGGGGGCTGGGAGGGGGGGTCTCCAGGGGTCCCTGACAGCCCCTGACATTCCATGATGTGCCCCTGGTGGGTCCCAGGTCACGTCAGCCCTGCACAGGTTCCCCAGGCCCCTCATTGCCCACAGATCCCCTCCTGCTCCCCAGCCCTGCTCTGACATCTCCAGAGCCATAAATCCTTCTCCCCAGCACGAAGCCTTTTTGGGGCTGAGTCCCCTTGCTGAGGTGCTGGGCAGTGTCTGCAGCACAAACCCTGTGGGGTTTGGAGCTTGTGGGAGGATGAGGAACCAGCCCTGGGGGTAGGGAGGACCTGTGGACAAGGTGACTCTGAGTTGTCACGGGTGCTGAGCCCAGGAGAAAGGTCTTGGTGGGTCCTCCTGGGGTGGGAAGGGCCAGGGAAGATGGACTGGGCTGGTGGGAGGAGGGATGAGACCCCCAGAGGTTCTTCTGCTCCTGCTCTCGTTCGTCCCGGGTGTTCAGGGGACTCAAGGTCTTGCTGCTTGCCTTGCCCAGGGCTGGCCACCACCTTGATGGATGCCACCACAGACAAGGACCCCCTGGTCCAGGAGCAGATCTACAAGGCCCTGTGCTACCTGGGGGAGTCTGAGCCCGAGGAGATCCTCAACTCCTGCGACGAGTACCTGCGGCAGCACGACAAGGTGGGACCCCAGGGGGTGTCACCAGCTCGGGGGGACACCTGGGCTGCCCGAGCAGCCCCTGGGCCTGGGGCTGTGCAGCTGGAGGAGGGTGGGAAGGAGCCCTGGAGGGTGAGGACCTGGTGGTGGCTCAAGTCGTGGTCACGTCCTGCCTGGTGGAAACGCTGCCCCAGGTCCTGGGGCAGCCAGAGCTTCCAGGGCAGGAGGAGCTGCC